CAAATAGTGTTTTAAAATGTAGCACGTGTTTCAGGTGCTTGTAATGTTTTCATTTATAATTATATGTATACTAGTTTTCAAGCCGTGCGATGCACGGCACATAATTTAGCTGATTGTAAATTTTATTTTTTTTCGTAATCTATACGTAGTATCATTTAGAGCCCGTTTGGTAATCATATTTTTTGGTACTTATTCACCATACATAGAATTTTTCATTTTCGCGCGCTGAATTGTGTAATAATAAAAAAATGTAATGTTAGAGTTACTTTTCTGGTTGTATTGACTGAAATTAAAGAATCATTTTAGCTATTTTTCATATAAATTTTTCCTTATTTAAGTAATAAAATATATTTTAAATATAGTTTTTTTACATAAATCAGCAGGATCAATCAATGCCACAGGCTCTTATGTGATGCAAAATTCAAATAAACTTGGTCTAATATAAAGTCGTTTGATAATACTAAAAATAGTCGAATCATCTGATTCTACTGTAATGAATTAAATCTACCAGCTATCTACAAAAAAAAACTCCATCTAGTCACTAAAATCCCTACAATCAGACACTGAGACTACCACCTCAAAAGAAGCTGACCACCAAACGAGCAATATAGAGTTCTTACAATAGCCGAAAAATCCTCTCAGTTCCTAAACAGACATAGAAAATTTCACCCAAATTTAAGTGAAACTTTTCGCTGAATATATGGGAGTTTCAAGGTAAATAACGGTCTTATACATCCCAAGTCTGACACTAACACAAACAATGCAAAAACAAGATAAAATGTCCAACGAGAGGAAAATAAAGTTTACGCTAAAAACAAAAAAAAAAAACAGATCAAGAAATTGTAGTTATCCAAACTCTAGCAACTCCCAAATTGCATGGTGGTGGTTTAGGAGGGGGCATACCATCAACACGTCACCTTTTTCCTCCAAGATCAGACGATCGTAAGCTTGTTGAATTCATCAAACTCGGCCAAATTCTTGTTCATCTCATGCTTGGATTGATCCCTATTGATGATTTCAGACTTATCCATAACTTCTCTGTTGCACATTGTTACTCAAAACTCAGAAAAGAATTGTAGCCAAAAACTGCCCCTAGATCGCCGTTGTATGGCCACATAAAACTATGGGTGGACTCGGGCCGGGCCGGGCCTAGGCCCAGGTGGGCCACCGGTTCAGAATAGTTGGGCCTGGGACCGGCCCGGGTAACCACCGGGTCCGGGCCGGGTTGGGCCGGGCCTCGGGCCACTTCCTATTTTTTGTTTTTTTTCTAATTAATCCCCTAATACCCCACCCCCCACCCCCACCCCCCCCTCACCACCCCAAATGGCCCAAAACACCCAACCCAACCCTGAAAAATAAAAAAAATTGAAAACACAAAAAAAAAGGCCCGACCGGGCCGGTTCATCATTTGGCGGACCCGAGCCCGCACTGTAAAACCACCGGGCCGGGCTGGAACAGTACCGGTCCCGGGCCGGTTCCGGGTCGAGCCACCCGGCCCGAGTCCACCCATACATAAAACCCTGGGTGATCTAGCGCCTCTCTTCCGCGTTTGCCTTAGCCTTGGTTTTTTATACTTCAACTATATTATTAATAATATATTTTGAATTATTTTAATTATACTTTATTTTATTCAATAATTAACCCAATATAATAATATTTACTCAGGCTTAATATTAGTTTTCCATTCAAATCAACGCAATATGCCCTTCTGGCAATTAACACAAATAACAATTTGCAACATTTTATCCAAACAGTCTAAACCGATTCTCTATTTTAAATAGTAGAAATAATACCAAACACACCAAAGTGACCAAACACAATCACTTTATCATGTCACAATAACTTCTTACTTCTGCTTCTACATTAAAAAGAAGAAGTAGAAACAACATCAATTCTAAATAGTGATGGACTGGGCCGGCCCGAACCGGCCCGAACCGGCCCGGAACCGGACCGAACCGGTCCGGAACCGGACCGGGCCCGGTTGGCCAGTTTCGGGCTTTTAGCCCGTGTGGGCGGGTCGGGCGGGCCGTGCTCGGGCCCAGTTTTGGGCGAACCGGCCCGGGCGGTTCGGGCCGGGGCCGGGTCATTTCTTTTTTCAATTTTTTTCTTTTCCTAGGGTTGGGCTGGGTGTTTTGGGGAGGTTTGGGGGGTGGGGGTGAGGGGAGGGGGTCGGGGGATAACAAGAAAGCAAAAAAAAATTAAGTATTGAACCGGGCCCGGCCCGACCCGACCCGATTAGGCCCGGACCCGGTAGCAACCCGGGCCGGTTCCGGGCCCATGGAATTGCAAAAAAAGCCCGACCGGGCCCGGCCCGGAACTGGCCCGGCCCAGGTCCATCCATAATTCTAAATAACGTCATCTCCCTCTTTTCCTGTCAATACTTCTACTTCTTATTGTAGAAGTATAATAAATATAGATTGACTTCAATAAGTTCAATTAGTCTGGAAGGTCCCGTGATTCCCACCTTTTTAATTTACACAAAAACTCATGCGTCTTATTCTCAACAATGTGTAAAAATGGTGTTTATGTCGAATTCTCAAATTGTATGATTGTCACTGAAATTGACGGGGTTGATAAGAAACGGATTGTAATTTAATCGACTCGACACAATTATGGGTGGGACCAAAATTCTATATTAGTTCGATTCTATCATTCTTTGAGAAATCAATATAAGAACCGTTTGTATCATATTGGTTCGATTGTAGCATGCACTCCCTCCCTCCCACAAACTCCCACAAAATGTTATTAGTTTTCTTTTTGGGCCGTCCCAAAAAATAGTTCCGATTTCCTTTTTTAGAAATTTTGTGTGACTACATTCATTTACTTTTTTCTTACTCAATTACAATCATACATTTCTACTTTATTTTCACTTTCTTGAACGACGATCCAAATCCTAATGTGAACTATTTTATGGGACAGACTATGTCCGACAATACTACTTTTTATCATAAAAGTTAAATATACTACGTATATTATTATTCATTATTGTATTACTGTCCGAAAATACTACTTTTTATCATACAAGTTAAATATACTACGTATATTATTATAGTTGTATGAATTTATGAAAAAGAATGAACACCAAATGAGTAAAAATATACAAGCGTGTTAGAACCGGCCTCAGTCCATATCTAATTCAAATTCATATCTAATTCAAAACATGGAACAAGAAAATGTCGCTTTGTTTGGTATTTAAGAAGGTTGTTTAAGAGTAGGGATGGACTGGGACAGGTCGGCCTGGCCGGGGGCTCGACCCGACCTGCCACTGTGCAAGCCTGACCCAGCCCGCCGGGCGGTATCAGGATCGGTACGGGGGGGGGGGGGGGGGGGGGACCGGGGTTAGAGGGGGCGGGCTACGGAACTGGTAAAATGGTGACCGGCCCGGCCGGTCCGGGCCCTTTTTTTTTAATTTTTTTGGGTTTGGTCTGCGTCTAGGTGGCAGGGATGGCAATTTAACCCGACCCGATGGATACCTGCACCGAATCGAACCGATCAAAATGGGGAAAACCACTTTGACCGGGTAACGGGTACGGAGTGGGGAATACCCGATTTATGTAAATGGGTAATGGGGTGGTTATGAGTTTATACCTACCCGCCCCGTTAGCCGCCCCATTTAATTTGGATACGGGTACCTGCACGATTACCCGACCCGCACAATTAACTTACATATTTTAATAGTTTATGTATTTATTATTTAATATATTAAATATATATGAATAGTAGTACATTAGTATATGACACTTATTCCCTCTATTTTTTTGAAAAATATTCAACTAATCGGTCATCCTTTGCAATTCTGAGGAGTTGGTGCTCAAAATTCACTATTTTAGATATTTAATTTTCAATTTCATTCATCATCCTTCCTTTGTTAACTTCTACAAGATTTATTTTCTTCACATATTAATTATTTGATTTTTCATGATTTTTACACAATTTTCGCATTGTGACTCTCTTAATTTTTCACCCAATAACTTTCATAAAGCTCACATATGAGTTTAAAGTCCAAATATTGGGAAACATTACTCTATATTGCTTTAATTATGTAATTGCTAATAATTTTGTAGAGCTGTATAAATGTATTGGATGATTAGATTAATTTTGATTGGTTGCTCTAATTTATATCAAGTTTTAAATTTAAATTACGAGGTTTCTAAAACAGTAACTACAAGATTTTTGATTTTTTGTGGTGCTATTTAATTTTGATTTTTTAATTTAGGTGGTCAATTATAAGTAGTTAATCATCATTTTAGGATTTATACTAATTTTGAAGAAAAAAATTACCTTTTAATAAAACGGTTACCCGCGGGTAAAAAATACCCAACGGGTAACAGGGCGGTTTTGGGGAAAAATATTATCAAACGGGGCGGGTACGGGTAATGGTATACCGACCCCGAACCACCCCATTGCCATCCCTACTAGGTGGGTGGGGCTGGGTGGTTTGGGGGGTAGGAATTAATTTGAAAAGCCTTTTTTAAAATAATATAAACCCAACCCGACCCGGTTAGGATTGGACTCGGGCCGGGCTAACCGGCCCGGAACCGGACCGGCCCGCTACTGTGCTGGCCCGACCCGGCCCGGTGAACCGGTTGGTTGGCCGCTTCGGGCCACCCGGCCCGGTGGGATGGCGATTCGGGCTCAGGCCCTTCAAAAGGTGAACCGGCCCGGCCGGTTCGAGCCCGGGCCGGGCCATTTTTTTTTTTGAATTTTTTTTAAGTTTTTGGGTTGGGCTGGGTATTTTGGGCCATTTGAGGTGGTTAGGGTTGGTTTGGGGGTGAGGAGGAGGGTTGGGGGTTAACTAGGAAAAGCCAAAAAAAAAAATTAGAACCGAGGCCCGGGCCGGTTCCGGGCCTCCCCTTCATGAACCGGGCCTGAACCGGAACCGATCCATCCCTAGACCCGGTACCGGTACAAACCCGGGCCAGCACCGGGCTTGCAGAGTGTAGCCCAAAACCCTAGTCCCACCTAGTCCCAGCCCGGGCCCGATCCGCCCTTATTTAAGAGGGTAAGAGAAATGTAACAATAATACTATGTGAACAATCATATCTACAAATTATATGTTGTTAGCATGTGTACAAACAAACAACCTCAATGTGGCGTTGTATAACTCCAAACAAATTAAACGTGGCAAGTGACACCATATTGTGTATTGTTTCACAAATGGAACCCGGTCCATCTTTGAAAGTTATGAAAATCCCTGCCATTAGACACTGCCATCCCAATCCCAGTCCTTCCTCCTCTCCCAACTCCTCTATAATACAACCTCCATTGCCCATCTTCTTCTTCCCCGTCCATCTGAACAAGGCATGGTGAACCCACCCCCTCACAGTCCCAACCATCACCCCCTTCACATCGCCTCAACACAGGATTGCACCCCACCACCCTCCTCCACCCCTTCAAACCGTCCGGTGATATCGCCACCCCAATGCTTCTCCTCCCATCCACACCAACACCTTCATAGGCCATAATGTATCTCCCGTCCTTCCTGTTCCTCACCACATTCGGGTTCATCGCTCCTAATTCATCAAACATCCCCACACCTCCTTCCCCTATCATCTTCCCTTGTTTCACCCATTTTATCCCATCTCTTGATCGCGCCATCCCAATCGCAAAACACCCGTTTTCGGCATCAAACGAATGGTAATACATCCTAAGGTCACCAACCCCGTGGTAAACAACATGCGGTGAGGCTATGAATAGAGAATCCCAATCCCCTTCTTGACCTGCATCAAACAGAGCCCCTGAGTGATGCTCCCCTTCTATTCTTGCCCAATGCCTTCCATCTTGGCTAATAGCTAAGCCTGGCAATGACTTGATTACTCCTTCTTTGGCTCCACTAGATAAGGACTTGTTCCCATTTCCTGAAAAATGTAATCTGATTTGAATAAGAACAAGTAAAAATGCTGAGACTAATAATAAAGGAAAAGGAACAGCACCTAAATATGCCCTTTCTGGGTTTTCCAAACTGAAACCCAGGGAATTGCCAGCAGAGAAATCTACTGTCTGGGAACTAAAACCTGTGTAGTAAAGCCAGTAAACAGCGGTGTTAGACCGGTTGACTTTGTTGCTGGACATGATGACCACCTCACTGGGCATAAGACTCTCTGTGTCAAAACCCCACCAGTCTTCACTGCAACTCATCACCATTCCCACATCCCCGCTTGATCTCACCCCGCCCTCGCCTCTCTCCCAGTGGGCCCCGTTGCTCGAAACCGCTAACCCGATTGAGTCCGAACCCGGGTTCTTGCCGGACCTGCCGTGGTACCACAGATACCACCTCTCTTCCTCGTCACCCAGATACCTCTTCACCACCGGCGACCCGATTTCGACGCCGTCCCAAGAGCTCGCAGATCCCAAATCAAACACCAATCCCCTCGAAATCGAAGGACCCGGAGAAAAACCCACTTGATTCCCGGTTACGGGTTTCGGTTCCCCTTCGGTTCTTGATGTTGAATCGGGCTGTACGGATAGTAAACCCTCGTCCGTCGCGTGTGGCTTTGCGGAGCAGCGCGGGAGAAATGGCGAATTCTTTTTCAAGTCTGTGGTTGAAATTGAGAAGTGCCCGACCTTGTTCTTAGCAAAATCAATGGGTTTTTGCTTTTGCAGGAAGGGTGTGTTTGGAATGCTGATGGTGGTGGATAAGGAGGCAAGTGTTGAAACCTTCATGGCTATGGCTGGGGATTGGGGAAACTTGTAGAAGGAATTCAGAGTTCAAAATTAATGAGCTTTGTGCCACTTGTGAAAGAGAAGTGGTGGGTGGGTGGGATTGGATTCTGCTTCTGATTGGTGAAGGAAAATATATACTGTGGTATATGTAAAGAGGAGGCAAGTTGGAAGTGGCAGAAGGTTGAGAAATGGCTTAACTTTGGAAGTGAATAAAGTGAAAAGCATTGATCTTTGGCATGAAAAGAGAGAGAACCAAATAGGGTTCTGTTTGCCTGTGTTTATTCAATCCCTCAAGCAAGGTAGCACTGGTCAAACTATACTTCTGACTTTACCAATCAAGGTATCAAAATCAGAAAGAAAACCCCCCTTGAATGGTTGGTTTTCAAAGCATGCCATAACTTCTTTTTTTCTGAATATTTACCCTCAAGAAATATTTACCAAATAAAAAACATCTTATGAACAGCATTTGGAGGTAAAAGAATTCTTAGAGACAGCACAAACTTATGTCAACCACGAGTTCTTCCATGAATGGTTGGTTTTCAAAGCATGCCATAACTTCTTTTTTTCTGATTGTCTGTGCAGCAATTTTTGCAGTCTGTTCATAGCTAGTCTACTGCATTATGTCATTTGATTCCGTAAGAGAAGACAACTAGTGAAGGCACCAGCTTTCAGCCTGGACACGTTGTGGACTATGGTGGTCATTAGAGATCTCCAATGCTTAGGCCATTGTAGGTGAAATGCCAAAAACATGATCGAGGTCTATTTAGAAAGGTGGGTCCATTAAATCACACCTCCAATGCACAACAATTAAATGAAATACAAAAGAAAAGAAAATAATGGAAAACGAAGATAAAATTAAGTGTGTGGCTTTCCATAAACAGAGGCCCACATTTACATGTCAGAAGGTTGCATCGAAGGTCCATATATGGACCTTGTGCTGGACTATGTTCCATTTTGTTAATTGCCACATAGGCTCCACCATGTCCATTTCTTTTTGCATTGGAGTAGATAATTCTCTTTATGATGTGCATTTGATAAGGTGGAACAACAATGGACTTCTCCATTGGAGTTGCCCTTAGTTTAGCGTGTTTGGGTTGAAAGGAGCATTTTTGAGATTTTATTCTGGAATGACAGCTTCGTGATAAACATGGAGGAGGAAATTTTTGCCAAAATTGAAAATGAAGCAATTTTGAAACGCTTTCAACATATGCACAATTGTCTCAATTAGTTACTTCTTCTAACATTTAATTGTAATGTAATGTATGTTTCACAACAATTTATATTTTGAAACTTTAACAACAATTTATATTTTTGCATTTTATCATAATTTCACCACTGTTTATAGCAGAAAAGCATATCTCAATCAATTAAGTTTTAAAAATTATACCTATGATTTATGAATACTACCATAAAACATTTTCAAAATTAAATTTTATACATACGAACTAACTAGTCACTCACTAAGAAAATATTAAATATTTTGAAGTTAAATCAAGAATACATTTAAATCATCAATGCCACCAAAAACCAATCATGCATGATTCACACGATTTATGCAACTATAATCAATAATTAAAAAAAATTACGGAGTGACATTTAACCTAATAAAATTTTCAAACTAAAAATTAAGTGGTAGTCTACAGAAAACCCTAGCTACTCTCTCCACACAAATTATAAGGTACACCCGGGTATACACATCACCCGATATTTTTGTAATTTCCTGCAACTTTAGGGCTTCTTCTCTCATTCCATATATATTGCACGTCGATCCCTTCGTCATTGACATCGCCACTCGACCTTCACCATCCTTCATCGATTCAAGCTTCACTGTCACCATCGTCGCGACACGAAGAATTTTTCCATTGACGCAGTCTGACCAGGAGCAGATTCCATCTTGCTGCAACCTGATTTGTTGGAGTCTCACATGGGGTTTTCAATCGTCGGCGCTCCAGTTCGTCAAAATTCAGGCGTCTCTGCTCCGTCGTCGTTCTTCCATCTCCGATGCTGCAGAGATTCTAGATGACAACGATAATGCTGTGTATAGATTAGATTCCGTTGATATTGACCTGGCAGATCAATCCAGCCCTTGTGGTATTGCTCTCACATACCAAATGAGCATGATGCTTAAACGATATGAGCATAGACAAATGAGGATTTGAGCACATTAGCGATTTCAAATGACCTTTTGAATGTTTCGATACTCATTTTATAATTTGTATGGTCATTTGGTACTGACATTATTCTCATTTTAAAATGCCATTAAAATTCATAATTCAAAAGTATTATGATGCTCAATATTATACTCCTAATACTCAACAGAATAAGTGTAATACCTCGTAAAAGTTCATGAATGCTCATTTGACAGAAACCATGATTTTCATCTCAATAAAAGAGGTTTGATGCTCAATGAAAATATCGTGACGTTCAACTAACAAACCTTAAGATTTTTATATTAATGCACATTTTGTAAGTTACATATGCTCATTTGGTTCTGATGTTGTGCTCATTTGTAAAATGTCATATCAATGCATATTTATATCACATTAAATTCACATATTGAAATTCATAGGAATTGTTTATACATACGAAATACTACCTCCATCCCCCTATTATTGTCCCATTGGGGTTTACGATGCTTGACCGACAATAAAGCAAACAGATCCCTGTCCGCACTCAAATTATTTTTAGAAAAAAATTACATATTCAGAAACTACATTAAAAATTTTACAAAGTTGCAAAAACTAGAATCAAATTTGTTAAAAATTTGATACATAAAGTAAGAAATTGAGAGTGATTTGTGTTGACCAAGTGAATAGGAAATGGGACAATAATAGGGGGACGGAGGTAGTATAATTTAATAAGTTTTATAAAAGAAAAAAATGAATTAGAAGATATGAAGCGAAGATGGTGATGTTCATCGTTATGCTCCTAATACTCAATAAAATATGTTTGATGCTCATTAAAAGTACATTAATGCTCATTTAGCGAAAACCGCGATTTTTCTCATAAATTACGAAAATGCCACCGTCTCAAAAAACTGGACCTTTTGGTTATGGGGTGTATTAGCTGATGGGTCTGTTGTTTCCTTAATTGGACCGGATGTATGGTGGTGCCCGTACACCCGAATGTAGGATATAGGGACTGCTCTCTCCTGGGTCTCAAGGTTGTCGTCGTCCAAGCTGTGCTTTATCTACCACATGTGATCATTCCGCCTAGCTATTGCTGATTAGTGTCACTGTCTCGCCGACACTGCCTCTGAGCGGATCGGTGATGCTGGAGACTATTTCCGTTCAAGTTCTCAACTGGTTTGAGAGTGGTGACATCTGCTCTTGGGCATTTTTGGTAAGGGTATGACCAATTTCAACTGTTCTTCTTTTGTTGTATGTGTTTGTTCTGTTCTATTATGGTTCTTTCCTAAGCATTGGAGCTTTGTGGTGTTTTGTCTCCCTCAATGTGGAAAGTTGCTTTGGTGCCCCTGCCGATTTCGACTGGTCAGAGGTTTCTGTCTGCATTCTTTTGGGCAACATAGAAAACGATAGAGCTAGAAAGGTTGTGTTTTACTCCACCTGTTTCTATGACCATCTAAAACGAAGTAAGAAGAAGAATTTAGTTTTCACTCATATTGCAGCAGCTCATCCTCCTCACGAACCACCTCCGTGTCAAGAAAAGTTTTGTGGGAAGACTATATTCTGATGTTATCTTTGCTTTGGTAGCTAGTACTTATATTTATTTTAGTTCGAGTAGTTTTGTTTTGAATATTTAGATTTTTAGAGTACTTTTGTTAGGCACTATTTCAATTCTGGCCGTTTCTGGTTTAAATTTGCCCATTTATGTCTGGTGAGTTAGTTTGCTTTCTATGTGGTGACTGACTTTAAGTCTATTCCTAAGGCATACGATTTGATCTGTAATAATTGTTTAAATGTTGTCTTGTTTGATGTTTTGATATTAATATAAAAAACCGCTCTTTTATGTTCAAAAAACTAAAAAGTAAATGTATATTTTACAAAGTATAGCAATATATAGATTCCTAAAAGCTAAACTCGAATTCACATGATTAAAATGTCAAATAATTTTACATTTCGGTTATTTTTACTTGGACTGTAATTCGTTCCAGACCAGACTAGACCAAAACAGACCAGACCAGACCAGACTAAAGCAGATCAAACCACACCAGACCAGACCATATTGTATTATTATTATTATTGTTATTATTATTATTATTATTATTATTATTATTACTATTATTATTATTATTATTGTTGTTATTATTATTTTTGTTATTATTATTATTATTATTATTTTTTATTATTATTATTATTATTATTATTATTATTATAATTATTTTTATTTTTATTATTATTATTATTATTATTATTATTATTTGATGGATAGTGTACCCGGGGGGTAGCTTATCCGAGGGGTTATTACGGGGAATACCTAGAGAGAAGTCAGAGCAAGTAAGTAGAGAGAGAGAGTATATTAGAGAATGTATTCAACGTAGTTGCTTCTTGTGTCTTGTGACCTGGTAACAAATGGGGAGATGGGGCGCTATTTATAGTAGTAATAAATGCCAGACAGGGACACGTGTCAAGCGTCCATTGGCCGAGAGGTCACGTCAGTTGGTTGGCACTGACAACCGCACGTGGCCGCATTTAATGCGGCTGTTGGATGGGACGTTGTACTGGGTACGGTGATCCATACACATGTGGAGCGGATATTATGTCGGAAAAGGTGCCCTCGGCTGTAGATGACTAGCCGAGGGCTCTGAGTACCAGGGACCCCCTTAGTGCCGAGGGCTCCAGTTGCCGAGGGCTACTGATTTTCGCCGTTCTTCCCAGTAACTTTGTTTTCCTGTTTTTGCCCTTCTGTGAGGTTCAGAGCCTTCGGCCAGGGGCCGAAGGCACCCCTTGGTGCGCATTGTGGGCTGCTTGGTACCTTGGGCGCCGTGATTTGGGCCTGTTGTGCTTTCTGGGCCTGTTGGGCCTTTATTGGAGTAGTAGGAGTCTGTGGACCGGGGGTTCCCGGGCCATATACTCCATCAGGAGTCCCTCACTCCTTTTGCCGAAAGGTACTTGAGGGAAAATGAGTAATTGTGTTTGTCTTCCGCCGTTGTTTGTAGTTTGTAGAATTGTTATTCTGCTGAGGGCAGTCCCTCAGTTACCCACATGTCGAGACTTGAGGGGTCATGTTTGTGATTTTTGTGATTTTCCCGAGGGGGGTTCTCCAGTCCCCCGCTCCTTGAGGCACTTACAAAGTGGTGAAAAGGAGTAGAGTACTCATGTTGTTGTTTTGGGCCGATGGCTGACGCTTTTCGTTTCATTTTGGGGGGATGCCTCGTTAAAAACCTCATTAGAAAAAACCCTGTGGGACAAAATCCTAATGAGGGAAAAAGAGTGCACCGAATTCCCCCAACGATGAATCGAAAACGTGAAGCCCTGGCTCGAAATGGAGTATAATGCTGATGCCGAAGGCTATCCTTGTTCTGAGGGCTCATGTGTTGATCAGCCGGAGGCTTGCTGTTGATATCCTGGGAGGTGCCGAAGGGGAGTCCCTCAAGCTGGGGATCGAGGGCGTAATGAATGCGAGTAGTAGTTGAAGTGTTACCGGGGTGTCCCCTGTTTGTTGATTAGTTGGTGAGGAGGGTATCCGAGGGCTCCCATTAACTGCGTGCCGTAGGCTATCTGTCAATGAGGTGTACTCCCCGGGGGCTACCCGACACTCAAAGCACTGAGGGGGGATCCCCGAGGGGTGTGACTGTTATGAAGCCGTTGGCTTCTGAGGGGTGGGCCCGAAGGCATCTGTTATGTGGTGTGAGAGGCACAAACCGGGAGCGTCTCTGGGTAAGTGTACCCGGGGGCTCTTCTTGATGAAGTGGAGTGAAGTAAAAAGCCTGGGGGCTAGTTCCTTGGTTGATGAAGGAGTGGGCTGCTGAATTTAGCCGGAGGCTCCCAAAAGATAGCTGTTGGAAATATAGCCGTTGGAATATCTAACGTCAAAATATAGCCGTTGGGGGGGGGGGGGGGCTTCCACGTGGTGCGTGCTCGTTGGCTGCCTGTGGGCGGGCGTCACTGATTGGTCAGTTCGACGGTTCGTAATGAGGGCTGTTCAACCGGAGGCCCGGTTTCCAGGCCCAAGCCCGGATCCAGGTGCCTATAAATACCCCAAGGCCATGCATCACTTCCCTTGTGCGATCATCTGTTAGCGAAGCTCTGCCAAAATTCCTAGAGAGAGAAACAGCTGCCTTCGATCAATTCATTCTTCCGAGGTCAGTTCTCTGCCCCTCTGTTGTAGCATTAGTAGGTCGTAGCTGTGTGGCCTTAGGTTAAGTGCTTAACTGCCTTAGGAAACCTCCTGTCTTAGAAACCCCCCATCCTTTAGTTGTTGAGGATGTCTTCGCAAAGTGACTCTCAAAACGTCTCGAGGGGGCTCCCGGTAGGAGTCGAAAGCTTCTCTGAAGCGGAGTCCTCGAGCGAACGCACCTCGGTCAACCAGGACTCTGTGGTAGCTGAGGAGGTGCAAGCGAGCCTTCGGCTAGAACTGGAAGCGGAGGAGTTCGAGCAAGTGTGCGAGGACGAGGAGCTGGCACTTGCCTTTCAAGTGGCCGAGGATGAGGCCCAAAAAGAAAGCATGAGGGTCACCGTCGCCATTCCTCCCCCTCGAATTGCAGAGGCCGGGAGCTCCCAGCCATTGAACCCGACGCCTATCAGCGTTGCCCCCGGGAAGAAGAGAAAGGCGAAGGCTGCCGGGAAGAAGAAACAGGCTGCCGTCGACGCCGGGCAACCAGTAGGAATTCCCGAAGGCTACTCCTACTTGAACACTGTTGCCTTGGACGTGAAGACCCGAGCTACACGGGGAGAATACATGGCTACGCAACTTCTGGTAGGGCCGTCGGCACTGGTAGTGGAGCCGAGGCCAGATGATGTTTTGCTATATGTTCCCGCCAGTTGTTTTGCCGTGCATCTGCTTTCGGTGGAGTTGGGCCTTCGATTCCCCCTCCATCCCTTCGTGGTGGAGTACCTTCGGTACGTCAAGCTAGCCCCTGCCAATTGACCCCGAACAGCCACTCCTACTTGGCTGGCTTCCTCTCCCTCTGCCGGAGCCGGGATGTCGAGCCTTCGCTGGACCAATTCTTCCTCTCTTTCAATCTGTGCCGGGGGGGGGGGGGGGGGCACTCGAATGCCGGTGGTTTTGCCAACCTGCAGCAGCTCCCAGAATTCAGGCTCTTCGATGATGTCCCTTC